TAAAACAATGATACTAGGAAAGGAGGAGAGAAAAGTAGACATATACTGTTGCAAAGTTATTACCCTATACTTTAAATAGTATAAGATCTGAAGTTATAGCAACCACAAAAATACAAAAGGCAGTTATAGTTTTAAATATTAATAAAATACTAGTCCTGATATGAACTAATCTAACAAAAGATATAGACAAAGGCTTTGAATAGGCAATACTAGAAAGTCAATTTATTAAATAAATTATGGCATATTAATACATTGGAACATCATGCAAATGAGAAAAAATTAGACCATTCTATTTATTATATGGAAAGTGCTAATATGGAAAGGCAATATTATCCAGTTATATAGAGTCATTTTGCAGCTAAAGTGCCTGGGTTTGAATCCAGACTCTATTAAATACTTGCTGAGTCACCTTGGGCTAGTCACTAAACTTCCCTCTGGCTCAGTTTCTTCTGCAAACCAGTGATAATACTCATGGGATCTTTAGGGTTAAGTCGTCTGCAGCATTTTAAACAATCGCAAGCACAAAATTAATACTCATTAATTGCTGGATAAAAGAAAAGGATAATCTTTACAATATAGTTCTAAATAAAAACAGTACTGATAAGTATAGTACGGACTATGGTCTGAACACCATAGTATGTCACCATTTGTATGAAAAATAACTTATGTATATGTCAACTATAGTATATGTCAACAACAAAAAAGACTATATCTAGAAGGCTAAACAAAAAATTTACAATAATAAATACATCTGGAAAAGAGACCCTAGCAATTGTGAAACAAAAAAAGAAATGTACTCTCCATATTTTTTATGTAAATATTGAATTTTCTGCAATATACTACCTATGCAAAGAAATACAAATAATTTAAAATCAAGAATTGGTAACAAACATTTATAAAATCAGGGAACTGTGCATTTCGAACACAAGTATTACTCCAAGTAAAAAGAAATCAAGTAGCAAACCAATCTGATTATTTAGTAAGTTGTGTTTCTTACCAGAATTACCAGTGACCAGTTTCCCTTGTCTCTTTGTTGAAGTTTTTTCTGATCTTTGTCATTTGTGACCTGCTTTTGTAACTTCTTGTCTTTCTTCCTTTTATCTTTTCATGATCTCACAAATCTTTATTATCTTACAATGAATTATACTTTGATAGAATATCTTAAGTGCTTTTTTATTCCCAACGCTGTTAATATACTTTTGGTTTTTTAAATTTATATTAGGAAGATAGAGAAAAAAGAAGGGTGATGAAAGCAACATCTGACTCTAGTCAATAATTTAATACATTTTTAAGACAAATGTTGATAGATAATGCATACGTATGTATATATACATATTGTCTTCTCAAGGCATGAAGAAGCTGTTTTTTGTATTTTAAGAATACAATCATACCTATTTTAAAAATATTTCTTATTGCAAATGTACTTCAAAAATCACAATGTGATTTGAAAAGAATTTGCTGTGTAAGCTCTGTAGCCTGTAAGGTTTAAATTCAGTTTCCGCTACTTCCTAGTTGTGTTATTTTAAATAAATTACTTAACCTCCCTCTACCTCAGTTTCCTAATGTGTAAACTTGCATTAACAGAAGGAACAAACACTGGAATATTTTAATAGACTAAATGAGGTGATACACATCTAAAACAAAGTCTGACTCATAGTAAGAGCTTAATAAATGTTAATAACTATATTAAATAACAAGTATTATTAAATGTGAAAACATATGGATTGGTTGGGAATGGATTTGGCTATAAAGTGTGTCATGACAGTAATTTTTAAAATGATGTTCATCTAAAACCTTAATATTATTAAATCAGATACATATATTAGAGTTCATTACATGTCATATTATTTAAAAATTAAGAATTTTTATTTCTGGTAAGGACATGCACACATAAAAGCAAAGGGAGTATTTTATTTTCGATTATTTTTCAAAGGACTATGTTCTTAATATCTGATGCTTCTTATTTCTTATCTTTTTCCCAATTCAGGTTAAAAACAATTCCAAAGAATAGTAAAACAGCAATCATTATCGTAGCCAATGGATCTCCAGTTATTTAACGCCAAGAGAAATGCCATAACACTTTCTATTTTGCATAACCATAAAGTAAAATAAATTTTCCAGAATAGAATAACAGCTTCAAGCCATGTTCTTATCTTCCTCCTGGTATTATAATATGCCTTTAAAAAGTTTGAAGACTAGATTTGCAAAAGAGCTGAGACAGCAATATAGGAGAAATATACATTCTAATGATCAAGAGTTAAATATACTAGAAGGGGCTGAAGAAATTACATTTTTTTCCTCTATTATATCTTTGGGAAACTTCAGTAAAATGCAGTGCCCCTCAGTCATCTAATGGATCAGAATCTCTGAGAGTAAGGTGCAAAAATTAGAATTTTAAACAAGCCCACAAGCAATTTTTTTGTCTACTGTCATTTTAAGAACAATTGAGGAATAATGATACAGAAAGGGTTAATTTAAAAGGTTTTGTGTAGGAGGTGAATCTTGAGCAGATTTCAAGTAGGCACATGAAGTGCCAGGGAGGAGTGAGGTAGTTATTCCAAACCAAAGGGATGGTATGTGAGATAACTAACTCAGTTTCGAGAGACATTTCAGCATCCTAGGCATTTCGATGTAACCACACCTGTCCTGAATAGGCAGTGGGGGCATAGAAGATGAACAGGACTGTCTACCAAAACTGCTAGTAATTAGAAAAACACCAGGCTTTCATTGTTTAATTCTTAGCACAACTTCCAACATTTTTTGTTTATTTATCCACTTTAGAAACATAAGCCTCTAACGTAGTACAATACTTACTAACAGGAAAGAGGACCAAAACCTTAAGCAAAGGAAGGTGCTTTTGTTTTAAAGTCAAAACAAAGATTTTATTTTCATTTTTTAATTTAGTTACTTATTTTTTATTGAAGTAACATTGGTTTATGACACTGTATATGATCTAGGGGAACAAGTTCAATCCTCCCCAGAGATAAGAAGGATTTTTAAGAAGTTAAAAGGTAAACAAGTCTTTTTGGTTTTTACTGGAGAGTTGCATTTATAAACTTAGAACTTTCATATAAGAGAGTCTTTCTTTCAAAACAGCTGACCAAAAGATGAATAGTCTAATTTAAATGTTCATTTAAATTTAAAGTGGAAAAATATAAAATTAGAAATTTTAAGTAATTTACAATTTTAGTTGTAATTTAATTAGTCAGTTTCACATCAGTAAATTAAGATTTTGAGACTGGGTGATTCCTAAAGTCCTATTAAGCTCAGTTCTAAAATAACAATGACATACAGCTTCCTCAATCTTTGACTATACTATACTTTAGAAACTATAATGTAAGCTTATTTCAAAATATTAGACTATTGACATATTCAATATATACGGGATTCAACTGCATGCCATAAACAAATCGACAATACTGTTTTCCGAATTCCTTTAAGGATGTGTTCTATATAAGCAAAAAAAAAAAAAAAAAAAAATGCTCTCACTTGGACTGCAAGCCTTAACAGTATGCAAAATAGCCACTGATGGAGGAGTTATAAAAGGCTCTATAGTTATAGATACCTGAAAGTCTCATGAAAACAAGATATATCATCATTTGCTAGCTAGTATAGACACCAAATGTAACTTATTGATAATCTCAAATTCTGACATATTTAAATAAAATTTGAGAAAGCTGCCTATTGTGTAAAATAAGCAACTTTATAATCTGAATATCACTGTATATCGCCTTTGGTTAAATAAGAAAAAACTGTTCATGTTACTTTTCCCTCATATTTCTGTCATTCTTAGTATATACATTACACATTTTCCATGTTACTCTAAGAGAGATACACTGCACAGAAGTGTCAATGTGGATAAGATTTTATCTATACTGAAATTAAATCTGGGGTTAAGTTTATCATTATGGAGCTTTACAAAGAATGTGTATTTCTCAAAGTAAAACGATTTTGTGCTGTAATGACAAAAAACAAGGTAGGCTGATTCCTTAGATTCTCCATAATTATTAACTTTATTCTTAAGGGACTGGTCTGCAGGAAGAACAAATCTTACAATGTAAAAGGCAGATAAAGGAGCCAGCAGTCCAAGAATAAATTTTGCTTCATTAAGAAAGGGAATTGGTTTTTAAGTCTAAGTAACATATATATCCCATGAAAAGCTGAAAAAAATGAGAGGCCAAAAGAAGTAGGCAAACTACAATACATGTATCATTAAAAATGTATCCCTGATGACTGTCAGGTTGACTCTGCCGTCACCCTTACCATCTTTACAAACTCAATAGTCTGATCAAGGACCCTGTCAGAATAACTTTAAAACTATGCATTTTAAAAACTAATGCAACAATAACACTGATACTACAGATCAGCGCTCCAGAAGTTAATTAAACCTTGTGTCTATCTGTAAATTAGCAACCACACCCCTTCAAAAGAGAACCCGCTCACGCTGTGCTCCATTAACTTCCATAGAGAGGCTTTTGTTTAAAATTCATTACTTCATAGCCTGGAACGACCATGTTTGTTTTGTAATACTATGGTTTTATAAACATTGTCTCAAAGCCAAGCTCAGGGCTTGAACAGAATCACTTTGGGGGAAGACACCACATGGTGAAACTGGGTCTTAGCCACCTAACAATTAATTAAAAGCAAATTATAATTAATCACAATTGTATGCTATGCATCGCAAGAATCCAACCCATTTGAAAATTTAAGCAATGCCTACTGATCATGTATTAACTCGACGAACAGAGTTTCTTTCGGGTTCAAAGAAGGGCATGAACTATTAAAAGATAGTTTGACGGCTTGTCTTGGGTTTCCCCCATCATTTAGGTTTTTTTTTTTTTTAAACCTAGGAAGGGCCTGTGTGGGGGGACTGTGAAAACCTATGGCGAGGTTTGGGGAGGGCAGAGGCCACATTTAAATAACTGCGGGGGGGCAGGGAGCTCCAAGTTCTTTAACTCGCCAGGGCCGCGCGCGGGAAGAGGAAAGAGAACCTTCCTTACCTGCCAGCGGCCATAGGTGAGGAGGACCATGGAGATGGGGATGGCGGTGCCAGACATGGCATGGGTGGAGGGCATGCTGTACTCGGAGTTGTAGAAGACCTCCAGCTTGACCACGGGCGGCGCGGCGGGCCGCGGCCAGCGGATGATGTCCTTGGTGCACTGGCCCAGGTACATGACCAGCACCCAGATGACCACGAGCCTGCGGCCCACCAGGGGGTCCAGGTTCCAGATCCAGAAAGGGAAGAACATGATGTAAAAGAGTTCATTGCCCAGCTCCGTGCCGAAGCAGAACAGGTAGTACAGCGGCCAGTTGCTCACGACGGCCAGCTCCCCCTCCTCGCCCGTCAGCGAGTTGCGGCGCGGGGCACCCGCGCGCCGCGGCGAGGCCGGGCCCAGCTCGGCAGCCAGCCCGTTCCGGACGCCGTTGGGGGCGCCGCCGCTGCCCGGCTTGGCCGGGCACTGATTGCGGTCGCCCCCGGGCGGCTGGGGGCCTCCGGACGCCCCCGGCGGCCGCGCCCGGCACCGGGCGTCTCCGGCGAGGGGCGCCCCGGCTCTCTCCTCATCTTCCCTCGCGTCGCCGGCGGCCGCCGTGGAGCTGCTCCGCGGCGCTTCCACCCCGCACAGCCGCTGGAAACGGGCCACTTTCTGCGGCTCCTGCAGCCAGCCCGCCAGCCGGGCCAGGCGCGCCCTCAGCGACATGATAACGGGACCCGCGCGGCCCTCGGACGGAAGGACGGCGACCGGAGGGCCGGCCCCACGCGCCCCGCCGGCGGCAGCAGCAGCGATGCCTCGCTCGACCCTCTCGGCTCTGCCGGGCGACGGCGCCACAGGCCGCAGCGGCCGCCGCGCGCCCCCGCCCCGCGCGCCCCTCCCTCGCCGCGCGCGCCCGGCCACCGCCCGCGGCCTCCACGCGCCGGCGCGCGCCGCGCCCCGCCCCGCCCCCCGCGGCCGCTCGCTCGAGGCGCCCGCCCGCGCCCGTTCGCCCCGAGCGCACCCGGCGGCCACTGGGCGCCACGGCTGGGCCGCCTGGGGTGACTTGAGCTTCGCCCTAATACCCGCCGGGCGCCGCGGCGCTGGCGGCCCAGACGCTGGGCTCCCGGCTTGCCCGACTCAAGCGCGGGGTCCCCCTGTCGAGCGCGGGTTTGAAGAGGCCGCGAGCCTGGTGCCAACTTCGGCGGTGCCAGGGGCGCAGCACCCGGATATGCTGCTGGCACACGATCAAGTGGTGAACGGTAAAGGAAGGTGAAGGAACCACCAGGCGCCCAGAATCGCTCCACTCAAGTAATTATAAGTAATTGCGGAAGCGTCTCAGAGAGCCTGAAAGCCACGTGCCAGTTGAGCAGGGGTGGCAGCTGTGGGTGTAGGTCCCAGGACGGGCCGTGCCGTTGGTCAGATACGCTGGTAGAAGTTAGGACTCCACAGCTGTTCTTGATTTTCATGTAGCGTTTCCTTTTAATAAGGTCTAATAGCTTGAGAAACTTGCACAGGCGAAATTTTAATTGGTGGCTGAACGCAGTGTATGAATTTTTGAGTTTGACAGCTGGTTTGGAGACTTCCATGTCTTACAAATGACAAAATTCTAGAAAGAATCGTTTTTTATTAGAAAGTCTCTAAACTCGAATTCCAGGAAGTTATTTAGAATAAGATGGATATCTAATGAAGGAACTTGAACTTCCAGAAAATTCCCCTGCCTTGTGTCATTAGAAGTATTTCTTTCATTTCCCAGGAAGAATCGTTCTCCACCTTCCAGTCCCCTTGCTAGACTATGACATAGAGATCAATAAATCTGTCACTCCTGGCCTTAAGTTGCTCCCAGTACACCTGGGAATCAGAGGGAGTTCCACTTCTAGAGTACAGAGCAGATGATAAATGTAAAAATAAATATAAAGAATATACTCTGGAAAGCATAAATAAGATGACTAAGGACAGCAAGAAAGGTGTGGTGATCCTTTTGAATTGGATCACAATTAAAGAGCAAGATTGAATAGGTGGACAAACCCATCTCAGAAAGGGAAAATATGAATAAAACAGGATAGGAATCTGCAAAGATGTAAACATTAGTTCATAGGCTACAGAATGAGAAGGGCAAGTGATTGGAATTGGACTAGAAAGGGGAGATAGTTTCCGATAGGGCCTCGGAATGCCCAGCTGGCAATTCTACTTTATAGGCACTGGGGAGCCATGGAAGGCTCGTAAGCTAGGGAATGACATCATCAGAACTGTGCTTTAGAAAGATAACCAGGAGGGAAATCAAAGATGAATTGCCAGAGGTCAGAGACCAAAGGGCAGGTAAATAATTAGAAGATGATTGCAGTAACTGGGTAAGAGAGAATGAGGGCCTGAACTAGGACCATGGTTCCATGGTTATGGGAATTAGAAGGAAGGGGATAAATTTGAATAAGATTTTGAAACTAGGAAAAAGTTGAAGGGTTCATTAGAATTCATTGGTCTACAGGCAAATACTGAGAATCCATCCCAGATTGGATGTGATTGTGCCGGATATGGTGAGACATTTATAATCTAGTGAGGGAGAGAAAACGTGCAAGTATATTCAAAGAAGACGTAAAACCAGACATACTCAACAGTTCTAAGAAGTGAGACTCAAGCAAATGAGAGGAGGCGTTGAGTGTGTAAGAATGAAGCTATAAAGTAGATTATTAGCTGGTGTTGGGAGATAAGAAGCAAGTTGGTTTGTAGAAGAAAAGATGGGAACAGCCTCAGTGAGAGAGTTTACACTTGCTTTTCTGTTCAAATTATTTTTCACTATTAAATGAATTTCAGTTTCATCCAAAGACACTGAATTGTACCCAGATATACATTTGGCAGTAATATTTTTCCTTTAAAAATATATTTATGTTTTATTATAAAGATGCAGCAGAATTTATATATAACAGAATTTATATATAACAGAATTTCCTGTTCTTGGGACTGATTAGCTTAAAGATAGCAAAGAAAGAGGAAAATATAAAAAACACAAAGAAGGTGGTGACCTTTATATCTCATGACTAAATTATGACTCTTAGAACACTGGTATATTTTGTCAGAATGCAATATCGCTTTAAAGGTAATGAAGACAAAGACCACAAGAAAAGGGAATTTGGCCCAAAACTGCAAGAAAGAACACAAATTGACTAAACTTGAAGGGGCTGACATTGTCCTGCTGGTGCAATAAATCTGTTTATGAGAAGGACAAAGCCTTAGCTGTAAACTAAAGCATTAGAACCAAAGAGAGTTCTAGTGGATTCTGTTTACATTCACTCTGAACTATTCATAATAGAACATCTCAAAACTTAATAGAAATTGGGCCTCCCTGGTGGCGCAAGGGGTTAAGCACTGCACTATGAAGCAATTTGCAGCCCCTGCAGCATGAGTTCGATCCCTGGCCGGCCAGGGAGCAACCCACATGGCACAGCAGATCTCTCCTTTCTTGCCCACTGCTCTTCTCAGCAGTGTACTTCAGTCAGTCTACCTGTTCTGTTGCCACTCTGTTTCTGGTGAATCCTCTCACCCACCGCATCTCTGGCCTGTACCCCAGCTCTTGTACGCATAAATAAATAAATGTTTAAAAAAAAACTTAATAGAAATTTTTGTTCAAGATTCAAATATAAACATTCTATGACAGGCATCTTTATAATAAAACATAAATATCTTTTTAAAGAAAAATATTACTGCCAAATATATATCTGCGTACAATTCGGTATCTTTTTCATAAAGCCAAAAATCTTAATCCATGTTCCAAAATTAACAAATAAATTCTGACTTATCCTTCTCTATACTTCAATTTAATTTTATGTAATAATAAAACTATGTTGAAATACATCTTCTATAAGGTAAAAAATTATTGCCATATTTCCAAGGAAACTTTCATAAAAGAAGTAGGGAGACAGGTCTTAAGCTTGGACAGTTTACCTTTGACAAGTCCCATAAATTATGATTTTTTTTTATCATATTGAGTTGAGGTAAATCACTGATTCAACTTCTTTTACAATAAGGTCAAAGAACTTTATCTGTAGAAATACATCTACTAAGTAATTTATGTTCAAAACTATCCTATACTATAGTGTTTATTTGAAATGCCATACAGACAGCAACAGAAAGAAAAGATTTCAGGAGTCCTAACAAGTGACTATTAAGAGGCAACAAGAAAAGTGATGCTTTTCCTTTTTGGACAGCCTATTTTGATAATAAATGCAGCTAATATGATAGACCTTATTATGCAACATGTACTCTTTGATATACTTTACAGGTAGTAACGAATTTAATCCTCAAAACAACCACATAAGGTAAATCTTCTATCTCCATCCTATGTGTGAAAAATTGAAGTTCAAAAACATTAAAAAATATGCTCAAGGTAACAGAGCTAGTAAGCAGTAGAGCCTTAGGCATCTGAAACCAGAGCCCACAAGAACACATTATGCTATATTGCCTGCCACTACTCTTATAATTACCTGTTCAACCTTTGCTATTATCTTATTACCATCATTATTTAGGAATTCCATTATCTGCTTTATGTTAAACAGCATCCAGTTGACCTCTGAGTGGTAAATTCTCACATTATATTTAGTCGGTCATTAAGATATAACAAACATACAGTATACAAAATGTTACAAAGTATGCCAAAGAAAATAGTTTTTCATTTATTTTAATTAAGAAAACAAATATTGAATGCTTGCCAAATATAAAGCGCTTGCCTAAGGGTTAGAGAAGATATATAGAGGAATAAGAAGGCACTGTCTGGCCCTCGAAAATGTATAATCCACAGGAGAATTTTGAAAGTGTATACAAGTTACTGTAATAAAAGGCAACTTGTTAAATGCATTAATGAAGATACAGACCATGTTAGGAGCATAATAATGGAAGAGATTAAGTCCCAAACAGGGAAACAATAATGTGTTTGATAGCAATTTAGAGGGGTAGCTTTGGGAGAAAAAACATCCAAGGCACAGAAAAAGAAAACTTCATGGCAGAAACAAGGTTCTCGGGAAGGAGAGATGAGGTTAGACTTTGTTGCAGAAACACTTAAAAGCTACATTAGGAATTTGGACTTTATTACTAGGCAACAGAGAGCAAGAAAAAGATAAAAAAAAAACAGTGCTGAGGTCAGAGTTGTTATGTTTAGGAAAATTAATTTGCTAGTGATGGGAAAATTTAAATAAAATTGGAGATTGAGGAGAGCAATTAGTAACAGTCAGGGATTAGGTTGATAAGGGCCTGAACAAGGGCAGTGGTAATGGAACGAGATGGTGAATGCAAGATACTCAGAAAATTGTTCTATTTAGAATGAAATAATGTGAAATCAGTTTAATATATGTCATATTCAAAAATAGAGTATGTCAAATAAAACACAAATCTTAAAGGATTATTCAGGGGAAGGGCAATAGAGAGAAACCTGGGACTGTAAAATTTGATAATCTCATAAGTAGAGACAGTGAATGTGGCTAGAGAGAACCAGGTATGGGAAAACAGAGACAGAGGACAAAAGGGTGGTGTGACAACATACTAGAGGAAAAGTATGTTTTACCCCAGGCCAGTCCTGTCTCAAGAGAGCTGCTCTAAGGAGGAACAGTATGCTGACTTAGGTTCAGAGAGAGCCTGGGGGCAAGAGGGAAGCGTCACCACAGTTTGGTTAGATCATTTTGTTCCTGTTGCTCAGTGGGAACAGAGCAGTTCAGCTAGTTATCTACAAGGCAGAGAAAGGGTATTTAGAGGGTCTGTGTCTAGCACTGTCATCAGTAAACAAGGATTAAACAGATCTTATCTAAATCCTATGGGGAAGGGTGGTTCAGTGCAGTAAGCTATTTTCATTAAAGGGTGAGGAGATATCTTAACCTTCAGGTAAAATTCAATGTTGTCAAAATAAGGAGGCATTAACTTTATAGTCAGATTACTGTTGAGGAGTAAAAGCACTAGTCTTCTTTGGATGCCAAGCCTAAACCTTGAGTTCCATTTCAACACTACATATACCCACATCCAACAGCAGGGCAAAAACTCCAATATTTTAAAATGTATCGGGACTATAGTGAGGCCATTATTTTCAAAACTGTTCTGAACTAGCCACTAACACTAGAAGTGGTTGCCAGATACTAAAATTGTTGCTGGAAGGGGAACTGCAAATGAAAGATCTTGGGCTTCAAACCTGTATTTTGAACACTGGTGTTAATATTGCTTTTCAGCATCACAAAGAGAGTTGGCATAAAGCAATCTTGGATTTTCTCAATATGAAACTAGAAAAAAGCTGATATTTGAGCCATGAAGCCATGAGACGGATATCATAGTCACTGGGAGAAACTTTTCTTGACCAAGCCAGAGTTCAGGTTCTTGAGACCTCGTGCAGGTAGGCCTCAACTTTGGGTTCTGCTTCGGCCTTCATAGTCCAGTTTTAGCAAGAATCCTGCTGAGTTAGTTTAGTGAAACTTCCCCACCTTTGGTATCTGATCACCCAGTCCTGCCTTCAGCAGAAGGCCTGTTCAGACTCCTATTGAGTCCATCTACCAAGAATGCCCCGTCCTTGATGTGTCCTCTGAGTTATTTTCGATCCACTGCTCTCCATTTGTCCATGAACTCGGAATTAAGCCTTGTATCTCCCCCCACTGCAAAGTCCTCATTGCAGTTAGTCCCTTTTAATTAAAATCTTCCTTGCTATCTTTCACAGGGATCGTGAAATTTTTTTCCTTAATATCACACACATGCTCTGGAAAGGGGACATTACTTCAAAAACAGGTCTCTATTGTTTTTCTTCTTCTTTTCCATGTTGTTTTGTTAGCAAAATTATTTTCTTCCATGTATAAATTATGGGAACTATAAATCAATACCATGTCCACTTACTATCTGAGGAAGAACAATGTTTTCAGCCTCCCTAGTGGCGCAAGGGGTTAAGATGCAACCTATGAAGCTGTCCGCAGCCTCTGCAGCATGAGTTTTATTCCCCAACCGGCCAGAGAGCAACCCACGTGGCACAGCAGACCTCTCCTGTCTCACCCACTGCTCCCCTCAGCAGTGTTTTTCAGTCAGTCTGCCTGTTCTGTTCCCCACTCTGTCTCTGGTGAATCCTCTCACCCCCCACACCTCTGGTCTATACCCCAGCTCTTGTATGCATAAATAAATAAATCTTTAAAAATAAATAAATAAATTTTCAAAAGTAGGTACATCTTCATCCCAAAACATATTTTTGGAAAAAAGTTAAATGAAACTTATATATTGTCATCAGGAATACCAGATTATCAAAAGAATGATACTTCATAGTTATACAGTATATTTTCATAAAATTGATTTCCATATATTCAATACAACATTCATTTGATCCTTTCAATGACACTGTAATGAATATCATCACCATTTTATAGTTTGAAATGGCAACTTAGTGACAAAACTAGAATGAAATTATGTCTGCTAGATATGGATGGGGTATTGTTTTCTTTTACAATGCAGTCCTATATACTATATACTCTATGTAGGAGTCCAAGAAGATTAAAATATAAAGAATGGTAGTGTAGGTGAAAGCATTCACTTTGACTTTATCTGCCTGACATGCTTTCTTTAACTGATTCATTGACATAATTAAGAAATCTCCATTTACAGAGGAGTCATACCTGTATGTACAAATGTATGTATTCTTCTTCTACAGATAAATTGTACTCTTGAACAGTTTTAAAGTATACTAGCGGAAATGGATTGAATGAATTTTGAGGGGGCTCTATGTTATAACTTAATTTACTATTCCATTATTTGGAGGACTCCAGAGCCAGTAAAATTTCTAGATGTATCATTCCATAAAAGTATCTTTAATTGGACCTCCCTGGTGGCACAAGGGATTAAGCACCACACTATGAAGCAATCCACAGCCTCTGCAGCATGAGTTCCATCTCCCCGGCTGGTCAGGGAGAAACCCACATGGCAAGGCAGACCTCTCCTGTCTCTCCTGCTGCTCCCCTCAGCAGTGTATTTCAGTCAGTCTGCCTGTTCTGCTCCCCGCTGTCTCTGGTAGATCCTTTTACCCCCCAAATCTCTGGCCTGTATCCCAGCTCTTGTATGCATAAATAAATACATCTTTAAAAAAAAGTATTTTTAATTAATTATTCAGTTACTCTTGTGTTTAAATTTCAATTCCAGAATCATCAGTTACTGTAGAGAGGGTAAGTTTTATTTCCAGAAAAATCAAAATATCAGAGATTCTAATTATGATTAATACAGATTTTGAGTGACTATTTAAATTTTATTTTCCATTCACAAAAAATATTTCAAAAGGAAAGTTATTTTTCAACATTATGTGTAATGTTATCTGAACATAGTTATGTGAATGTAGGGTTATAGTTTTTAGGTGATATTTTGGACTCAATTCAGTGAGAATCAGAAATCAAATGGGTAATTATTAATAAAGACTTACAGCCCCATTCTACTAAATCAATAAAACCATGGAAACAGTTTTAAAATGCGTAAGACCACATATCTATTAAAGAAAAGATAGGAAGTTAGAAAAATGCATGGATCATTTCAAAATGATCAGAGCATTTAGTTCTAGATGGAATCATTTGGATTCTTGTGAATCTGAATTGAGGAAACATATCTTGATCATTTCAATCACCAACATAATATATCATTTTGGTGATCAGATTAAGTTAACAAATGAAAAATTCATCACTTCAAAACTGGTTTTTCTTTTTTTCAAAATTTAAAGTCCTTACATCAGAAAGTATTGTTAGCAAATATTAATGTCACTAAATGGCTTCATGGAAGTGAGTTTGCAACAGGGTGGTCCCCAGGAAAGGGGGAGGTTCCCTGCCCCACCCAAGGGAGGGTGGAGCTGAGCAGGAAGGGGAGAAGCTGGAGAAGAGACTAAGGAAGGAAGCAGGATGGAGCCAGGAGACCTGGAGGAGGCGCATGGAGCCTAGAGACACGTAAAGAAACTGCGCTTGTCTTTTGGTCGTGGACTGGGTGACACAGATGTGGGTGAGACCTGTGGGGAGGTGACAATGGCAGCTTTTATCTTGATGTTGATTTTGCTCTTTTCCTTCCGGGCTTGTCCGGTTGTTTGTGACCCTTTGCTGTGGGTCCCCACTGGAAGATGCTTTAGACTTGTAGCAGGCTTTGGGGCCTTGTTCTGGGCCGATCCCATATGGATGGACTTTTACCCACGAGGGGACGGGTAACTTTGGGTGCTTCATTTAGAAACTAGACTCTTTGCCTTACCTGTATTGTTTCCTAGTTTTATTAAAGTTCCTTCCCATTAAAGTCTCCTATGTTTTGTGCTGATGCGGCGGATGGCAGAACCCATTTAGAATAGGCAGGTTTGCGGGGTTTGGGCTGCCCCTCTCCCTGTCCTATAACAAGTTCTCTGTGTAATTTTGGCTTCATTTATAGTAAATGACTGTTTATCTCAGGTAGTATGGTTCTTTAGAAAATCCAACCACACAAAAGAGATCATTATTAAACAGTTCCATTCCATATGTAGATTATGGTTCTTTTTCATAGTATTATTTTGCAGTTCAAAATATATTGTTGATATTCCTATAATGGTAGCATGAAATCAAAATATGCTTAATTGTAGGAAATGATTTTCTATTATAAAAAGATGTTTTTATTGATTTGCTTTCATTTCACTATCTTTCAGCCAGGTTGTGGTTCACAAAGCTGAGTCACTAAAGTGAATTCTGGGTATCAGTCATCTAAAGTGCGCCCAGTACACATTAGAAAGGAGAACATTAGCCTTAGAATTTGTGGATACTGAGAGTTTCTGTTCTCCCTTAAGCCACTATTAGAGAGTCTCAGTACTTGTAATGTTTCTGTTTTAATTTGAAAAGTATAGACAAGGAACTTTATCCACGTTTAGCTCCCTAGTTTGGTCCTTATTGAAAAGAGCTAACTTTTTGCAGTCCTATGGACGAAATGAAGGTTATCTCAGTAGAGTACTGAAGTGGACCATGAGTTCTTTAAGCCCACTCAAATTGCTAGTTTTTTTTTTTTTTTTTTTTGGTTTTTTGTTTGTTTGTTTGGCAAGTTCTTTTTTTTTTTTTAAGATGTAGTTATTTACGCATACAAGAACCGGGGTGTAGACCAGAGGTACCAGGCAGGGGGGTGGAGGGGAGATGATTCACCAGAGAGAGTGGGGAGCAGAACAGGCAGATCTACTGAAATACACTGCTGAGGGGAGCAGCGGGGGAGGCAAGAGTGTTCTGCTGCACCATATGTGTTGCTCCCTGGCCGGCCAGGGATCAAATTTGTGCTCCAGTGGCTGGCGATAGCTTGACAGCGTTGTCTTTAACCCCTGTGCCACCAGGGAGGCCCTTGGCAAGTTCTAAAGAGGTTCTGGAATATATGAGAAACCCAAGAATCCATAGACCCAATGTCAACACATAATTCTCCCCTGATCCTCCAATGCCCGTGGAGCCCTCTTGAAACTCTAGCAGAGTCCTAGCTTCCAGATCTTATATATTACATGATTCTGGGAGAATTTGCTTAGAGAAACTTAGAATTAACTATAGACAGTTAAGGAAATGGACTGTAATTTCCTTATTTGTTCTTATTGATAGGGTTTAATTTCTTATCAGTTCATTAGATTCTCTTTCCTTTTTATTGGTCGCCTTTTATTGTTCCTAAATAGGAGATCTTTCTCAGGGCGGCTTCTAAAATCACACTTTCTGTGATTCAGATATTCTATACAATGACCAGGACTATGTTGTAGAAGTTTCTGCTAAGAGAAGTGAGGAGGCCAAAGGCAATGTCTTCTAGGTTTTAGGAATACTACATCTTTCCTTTGACAGTGCTGGAGCCATAAACTAGATAATGTCCACTCTCCCCCATGTTTACTGTTTCCTGACCTATTTAAACAGGACCTTGAGACTATAAGACATTCCATTTTGGTTGAATTTTTTTCTTTTTCTTTTTTTGGAATTTAATACACCAGTGGAGACTTGACTGAAGCTATTCCAAAATGTCACTATCTAGTCAAAAGTCTTTAGACTGATGTGTTTCTCATGGCATTTATCAATTATGTTACTGGGCAAAGTGTCTAAAAATTTTCCCCAGATCAGAACCTCTCTCATGGCTTCTGATTATGGTCACCTGCCACCACAAATGCAAAGGGTGCAGCAAGCAAGGAAAAAAAAAAAAATTTAACTGATGGAGAGAAGGAGAACTAGCAGTATAGAGATGGAAGGAGAAGGTACAATTACCAACAAGCCCGCATGCATTGCTCCCTTTTAAAAGCTTACAAAATGGCTGCCCAGTTTGCCCCTTCCCAGCAGCCCCCTCACTCAGGAGTTCAAGGATGAAGTTCAGGCCACTGGAGCACAGCACAGGCATCACCCCCTCGGGTTTGGGCATGCCTGAACATCAGGGGGAAGATTTCAGCCCCTCATCTTCACCGGGCTGCTCCAAAAGTTATACTTTCTACTGAGATTTTAGAATGAACTACATACTTTTAGCACAGTTCATTTATAAGCATTTTTTACTTGTGATCACCTTGAGAGTTTTTTCCAGTACTTTATCCTATACCTTTATGTGAACAGAAGATAAATATCTGCATTCATATGCTTACATTACAGTGGCCTTTTACTTCTTAAGTAAATTCACAAAAAATCACACATAGTTTGGACACAATATAGAAACATATCAAATGCCCACCTATCCCTACTTATTTTTTTCAGACTAACATGGCCTGGATAACCAAAATCAGAAACTAACAGTACAAGAGTGCAAAATTACTGACCACTAGCACTCATGAA